AATTTGCTACATATCCAAACAAACAAACAAAGTTTGCAATCCAATTAATGTTAATCTAACTGGGTTTTGATAGATAACACATCTCTTTTTCTTCTCTCTTATTTTATTTATTTTGTGCACTCAATATCAATCAAACTATTGTTCGTTTATACATTTTAAGAATGGCGTTTATCTTTTTTGAGAATTAGTTCTTATTTTATTTTTATTTATTTGGGTTAACAGATGATACAAATGTTTGTGTCAGTAAATGTGTACTAACTGAGGCGGGGGTGTGTGTGGAAATAACGGGGACAGAGCTGGCTGCTGTCAGACGATCAGCTGTGCAGCGTCATCACAAACGGACGTCGCTTCACGACGCTCCGGAGGAAAGGACGTCCCATTGCTCTTAAAACTAATTTCCCTCCTTCTCATGGTTTCCTTGCGTCCCTCCATGCTTCCCTGGTGGGAGGGACTTGTCACAGGGAAACGACGCAAGGAATCCATTTAACCGAAGTGAGAAAGGCCCTGTAACGCCACAACAATGTGGGCGCGCGCGCCTGACACGCACGTGACAGACAGACAAACAACTTTCCTTAGAAAGTGTTTATTCAAATAAATGTACACTTGATTGAATGAAACTCTGTAGCAGATGTAGCCTTGCATTGTTTTTCTTTTTTTTTAAAATTGTGTTCATGTTTATGGATGCCATCGTGTAAAATGAACAGTCTTAAGCGAGCTATTTCTGAAATAATTCCTTTGTAGGCTACCAACCTATACTTAACACTGGAAGAAATGCATTACATCCTAACTCTGACATTGTCCTTTCTCTTACAAGTAATTAAAAGTAAAGTAGTAAATACAAAATCATCATTTCAAAATCAGTGTTTCTGTAAAGACACAGGTTGCATGTTTAGTAAGAAAAGGAGATAAAGGAGAAAAATATTTGATGGGTAAACACAGCGGATATCAGAGGAGCAGAACAATCTCATAAAGAAAATCTCAGCTTCATATTTGGCAATCCAGTTAACTGGCCAGAGTCAGCAACACTGAATTTAACAAAACAAAAAATCCAAAAACATACCAACTCATAATATAATTGTTTTATTATTTACTTTATGAACAGTTTATATCCATACTTAAAAGCCTGTTGAAGTACTTACAGATAGAAAGGTAAAGCTCAACTGATGGTCCCAAATATATACCTAATACCTAATATACCCTGTAGTGCAGTGAAACCAAGTTAAAGAAACAAAAAGGACCAAGCAGAACTTGAGCAGGCAAAGCATAGTGTTTATCCCAGATTCTTCATACATTACTAAATCATTATATTCAACAAGGCTGCTGTCCATAAAGGACAGTTATCTCCATGAAATAATGTAAAGACAATAAAGCCAGAGCACAAACACGTTGACCTTCAATAAAATAAATTGGAAACTAGAAACGTGTGACGTGTTTCAGCAGCTTGTGAAAGTCACAATAGGCTCCTGACTGCTCTGCTCCTACGAAGAGATCACATGGCAGTTATTATGGTTTGGATGTGTTGGTTTAAACCTGTTACTTACTTTTGTTGTTAGTATTTTCTATATGAAGCCCATATTGAGTCAGGATGACCAGTGTACATCCAGGGTGCTCTCATCTCCAGAACAAACTATAAATAAACAATGAGGGCACAGTGTGACCTTTAGGACACAGATGAAAGAAAGTTCAGCTCTGCTCCTCCTTTGGGTGCCTGGCGACCCATGTCTCCCCCGTCCTCTGTGTCCATGTTTCCCACCTTGACTTGCCCCCTTGTGCGCCACAGAAATACGGCGGGGAAGGCGTGCTTGAAGGCCTTCCTGAAGTTGTTGCCCATGAAGGCGTAAACGAGCGGGTTGACGGAGGAGTTGGAGTAAGACATGCAGTGACCCCAAATCTTCAGCTGTGGATGCAGAATTGAGACTGACTGAGATCAAAGACAATCAATCTGTGGCCGTTTTAGAACCAAGACAAGCCTCCATTTCTGTCCCTAAAGTCTTGTCATTCACTGTCACTACCTGGAACTGCTCAACGCAGATTGATTCTCAGTACCTTTCAAAGAACATTGGAACATTAAAGATCAAAGCTGCCCAAACTGGGGCCAGCTGGCCAAAAGTGTACCACTATAAGGTTTGATTCAACCTGTTGTTTCGAACGACAACAAAAAAAGGATTAAACCAAATTATAATAGACTATATCATAATTTGAGAATGGCACACAAACATGACTTTGCACAAGACAGCTTGAGGTGAGCGAGGTAACAAGAAAATGGAGAGGCAGATATCTGGTACACAGATTATAAGGCATTTCAATTTAGGGATCTTGGGATCCTAGTGTAATTTTGCATTTTAGCAATACGCTCAAGTAAAATATGTATTTGCTTCTGCCCTGTGGCCAAAGATTAGGATTACATTTATTTTCATCGTTTGCATTTTCAAATCCAGGTTGAACAATGAGGGGTTGAATATGACTGCACCATTTTGGATTATCTGTGCATATATAATAAGTCCCAAAATATGAATACCAAATGTGTCACCTTGTATAGAAGATAACTGCGGAGGCCAAAAGCTTGCAGGAGGATGCAGACCTGGATGGGGCCCCAGCAGATGAGGAAGAGAGCTACCATCACCACCACCATCCGGGAGATGCGCGCCCGTACGGCTGCTGCTCGCTCTGCATGAGCCTGGAGCTGGCGTTAGAGAGGCTTTGTAATTATTTGTATCACCATCTGTATTTTGGGATTAAATAAGAAAGTAATTCCTATATCTTTCTCTTACTTGGTAGCTGCTGTCGATGGGATTCACGCTGGCTTGCCCAATGCGCTTTAGCATGAAGGCGTAACAGGCGGTGATGGTGAGCAAGGGTAGAAGGTAGACGGCCAGGAAGCTGTAGATGATGAAGGCTCTCTGGAGGCTAGCAGAGGGGAAGACCTCACTGCAGTACGTCTGAGGGCCAAACCAGTATCCTGCCTCCAAACGCTGGTACACAGCGACAGGGATCGACAGAAGCAAAGAGCCTGGGCAGGACAGAGGACAGGACAGTGTGACTCATCATGGTGTTCATAAAAGGTGCCATTACTGCCACTAGATGCTAACCTGTTGTTACACAAAACCATCTTAGAAACTGTCGTTAGGCACTGTTTTAAAAAGGGCTTTCAAAAAAAGGAAGGAAAGGGAAAATGTGTGACTTTGTAGTTATTTTAAAATGTCTTATTTCATTAAGAAGATATTAAGCTGACAAGATGTTGATAACAATTAAACCTAAGTTAAAAACGTTTAAAATATCCTTTTATACACTTATACCTTACAGTCAGTCAATCAATGTCGATATGACAGCAAGGCCTAAAAACCCAGAAGAAAGAGAGGCTATTAAAAAAGAAATGTATTCGGAACAATAATCCCAAATAAATTGCAGAAAGAATGTTTACTCCAGTCTGCATTAAATGTTTCTTTCATGATTTTTTCATTTTCAACACAACAGCAAAGGCAGCAAGCTCAGCTGCTTCAATATTTCGACTTAAGTTTAATACAGTGAATAAACTGTGGGGTTTTCTCCTTGTACGATGTGAGGGTCTAAGGACAGAGGGTGTCGTTTTCTCATACTGATATTCTGCACAAACTGTGCTGCTGTATTAGCTGTAGGTTATTTTTTCTTCATTATATGTACAGCACTTTGGCTCGACCAAAAATCGTTTAAAAATGTGCTATATAAATAAAACTTGATTTGATTTTGAATTTGATTTGATTTGAATAATAATAATAATAAGAGTGATTAGAAGGTAAACAGAGCACCGTTAGCTGATCTGACTCTCCCATTGTCATTGTGTGTATAATGTGTTTGTTTGAGTGATACCTATCCAGATAGACACAGAGATGGCGAGGGCCATGCGAGGCGTGCGGTGTTGCAGCGACTGCAGAGGGTAGACGGTCACGTAGCAGCGGTCCACACTCATGGCTGACAGAGTGATACATGTGGCCTGAGCAGTCACCTGAAACATAAAGGTCACAGGGAAGATTTGTTTCAAGGACACAAACACTTTTCCCCTTTTTCTCTGACATTTTCAAGTAGGTTTTATGTTTTGCATCTAGGTTGAGTCGCATAGTTTATACAACTTAACATCTAAAATTGTTATTTTGCACATAATAGAATGTCAACATGGGATATAATCAGTTGTTATGCCTTGATAATAGAAATAATGGTCTCCAGAGGTTCCAGACCTGTTTGAGTTTGTGTGTTTATTTGTGCATATCTCTCACTTGCTGCAGGTAGTTTACCAGTCGGCACATAAACTCTCCAAAGATCCAGCTGGGCAGTGGGTACAGTGTGGCAGTGAAGGGTACGCAGCACACCAGAAACAAGATATCGCTTGTGGCTAGGTTTACTGGAAGAAGAGGAGAATAGCCCAAACAGAGACATTTAATTCAAGACATGTCAAGTAGAAATGCACTCTTTCAGAAGTTCCCCAGCGCACCTGTGTTCAGCAGTTTGCTGCTTTTATTGATAAAGGTATACAATAATACACTTTCACTATGAATTTTATAAACTGACTAAACTAAACAAACTGAGAGCTTTACGGTTCCCTGTGGAGTGTTTGATCTTTTAGAAAGACTGTGGAACGCTTTTCTGTGAGTAGGTCACAGCGATGAACGGATGGAGCATTATAATATTGTACTAACGTGAAAGTGTTGTACAACCAGCAATGTGCCAACAAAGGCAGGACAGAAGAATACCACTTTTAAATTGAAAGTATCTAAAAAAAAAAAAATCAGTATTGCAAATCTTACGAGGCGGAAAATGCACTCAACATGTTTGTCGGACCTTAAACGTTTTGGTGAGTAAAACTGATTATGAATCAAACCTTTACTTATTTAAAAGAAAACTAGAAGGCACCTTACATTTTGTGCATTACATTACTGCCTTGCAGAAAGAGTCCCCTCATCTCTTTAGTTATCTTTTGTTGGGTTTAGATTTCCTTTTTGTACACAATCTATCGTGTTGGGCATCCCTCTCCCACATTTCTTTCACTTGACACTGAAAAGACACAAGAAAAGAGCTGCTTTGCGCATAAACAATGTTACCTATGTAAAAGTTGGTGACAGTCTTCATCTGCTGGTGCTTGGTGACCACATGGATGACCAGCGAGTTCCCGACCAAGCCCACCAGCATGATGAGGCTGAAGAAAGTGGGGACCAGCCAGGAGTCCACAAGCACCGGGGGCCCCTGGCCCTCCAGAGCTGCAGACTCGTTGCACACAGACTCACAGTCTCCCAATGTCATCTTCACAAACCACAGCCAGGTGGAGATCTGTGGTACAGACAATATTTAAATGTGGTCAAATCTGGGCTGATGTTATTATTATAATCTAAGCAAATGTAAAAAAAAAGATGACATCAAATTATAAAGACATGTTATGCTTTTTCTGAATTGCTTCTCGTACCTGTGCTGTTTGCTTCCACAGTGCTCCTCTCTCTGCTATACAAAGCTTTTGTCCCGCGTTGGTCAGTGATGCGCTGCTCTTCTGTTCACTGCAGGTCTGAGATGAAAGCACTGTAACCCCCCACCATATATGGGGAGGGGGGGGTTGTTTGGATGAGACAGGGGACATTTTGCTCTGAGAGTGTTTGTGAGAGCAAAAGAAAGAGCGACTGAGGTAGCTTTTAAACCTAACCTCCTTAATTAGCTGTAATTGCCCAGGGCCCGATGCCCTGTAAAGTGACTGCAGCTAGATTGGAATCCTCTGAGCATCCAGAAGTTGCAATGTGTCTGCAGCTGAACAGTAAAATAGTGTAATGTTCAACATTGATGTCACAAAAGCCCCAGTTTATCCTTAACTCTTTTCCAGTTAAAGTCTGTCTGAATAATTATTTCCTTTGCCTTCCACTTCCTCTTTAAATGTGCGTATGTCAATCTACTAAAGGTACAGCCTAGAGGCTCCCTTACCTTCGCAATTCATTTCATCAATACTGAACCATAGTGGTTCAAACAGGGAAATCATAAAAACAGGTACTTACCTGCAAACCAACATGAACGTGAATCAGTCAGCTGGAGGTTGTGGTGACCGCCAGACGCCACAACAACAACAACAACAACCCGTTTTTATAGCTATCATTACATCCTTCATGAGATTTGCTGCAGAGTAGCAAGTGCCAATTGCACAGCGGTACACAAGTGGAGATAAAAAGTGTTAAATTAAATGTTTACAGTCTGTTGTTTTTTCGATGTATAGTTCTGGCCTTCAAACATATAAAACATGTACTTTAGAGAACCTGTCTGTGCACGAACAAATATATATATTTAGGTTAAATGTGTTGAGAGCTGCATTGCCATCCAGGGCTTCTGAGTACACTTGCTCCTACCTATTCTTTCCCTTTGGTAAAAAAATAACAAATCTAAAAAAAAGTTAACTGAATGTTACAAAAGATGTACCACAAATAAAAAGAAATCTGTTTTACATCTCTGCAAAATACCGAATTTAGACAGTGCCTTTAGTTTGGATTTGCGTTAGACTTAGATCATTCTTTACATGCTGTGTTTCTAATATTTGAACGTATGTCTCCTTAAGAAGTAATCATGTGTAACACATGTTTTGACTTTGTAAGTGCTATGTAAAAAAGTTAAAACAACAGACAAACTATCTCTTCTGGTTCCAGTTTGAGTTTATCGTTTCTGTTGGTTTGGATTAGTCGTCGCAAGCCTTTTTCCCAGCTGCTGCAAAGTTCCTTGCGACTCCAGACTTCTTTGAGGCACCTGAAAACAGCTTCCTCTGGAGGTCTCTCAAGTCCTCAAAGAACCATGCACTGGTCGGCCCTGGATCAGGATCAACATGACAATAGTTATAGAAGGATCTACAAATGATCTACTCAATGGTCTATGCACTAAAACATGGTCATTGTTTGAATTGCATTTGCTCCATATTGTAGTAGCTTTGTTTGCCATGATCATATCATTATGCAACCCCAGGAAAATGGTCTGTCTTCAGAATATTTATGTGTATTTATGAATGTTACGATTATTATTGACCGGATTGGGCATTCTGGTCAGGCAGTGTCCTCCTGGTCCGAGCCTGCCCCCCGAGGATGTGTGGATGCATCTCTCGCTCTTCAAGTCGCTCTCCAATAGAGCCGACAGAGTCAGAGGTCAGCCTCTTTTCTACCAGGTGAGCAGGAAAGACACATGTCGAGGATGGTAAGCTGGGCTGCAGATGCTCATCCTGAGAAGAGGCCACTGCAGTGCTGATTGGCGCAGGAAGAGGGATTGGTAAACTCACTTTCAGGAAGTCCCGCCTCTTAAACTGCCGCCTCGACAGCTGCCTGATGTTTTCAGGGAGGGTGGCTCTGGATCTAAAGGTCCCATTGGTTTTAGAAGGGCCTGCCCCTGTGTTGGTCAGGGTGGAGAGGGAGGTGCTGATGTTTCGGGGGTCAAAAGATGGAGATCTCCTCTCAGCCAAAGCCGCTAATAACTCTGACATCTGAGAGAATAGTAGACACAGGTAGAGGGGGAGTTTCACAGAAATCTGACATAGAGATGAAATATTTAGGAACATTCTTCTGAAGCACATCAACCTCCAGCTACTTTTCTACTGTAATTCATACATCATAGTTCCCACAGAGGGTGGCTGTGTGTGTGTTCTTTTTTTTTTTTAAAGCAAACTTGATCTTATTGTCTTTGTCAACATATTGGACTTCATAGCTCAAATTGAACAAATCTAAATATATGTAAAGTAAAAGGGGTCCGTTGTAGTGAAAAACCAACATAGGACTATGACCGACTGTGCATTTCCAGTCTCAAGATCTTGAACGTCTTTGAGTTGTTTTGGTTCTCCGGCTGCAGCTTTACTCTTTTGGTTCACTTTCATCTTTTTATGAGCGCAATTTCTGCAAGCAACTGTTTAGTTTCTGCAAGCAGCTGGTTTAGTTTCTGAATACAAGGTTCTGGAAATCACCTCTTATCACTAAAACAAAGTTAGTGAACATGCTGGAGCTTTTAGCTGCTAGATAGAGCTGTACGTGTCCCTTAGGAGTTGGTGGAGACCAATGATAGTGATACATTTAAATAGATAACTGGAATGCCAAGCATCAGATGGAGAGTGCTTCTCTATCTTTAAACTTTACATGAATGCTAATATTACTTGGATGCAGCTGTAACTAACATCTCCGTCTTAACACATGTCAAAGTTTCATTCACAGCCTGTTCAGCAGTCCTTAAGTGGAAAAAGCAAACCTAATAATATTATTTTCTAGATAACTTAAGCCAACACAACAGTTCATATTAAATCAATCTGCACATCCTTCTTTACTCTAATTGACGATATCTCTCTAAAGTACATTTTAGAGTTCACTTGAAAATGTGGCCAAATTATAATATAGCAATAAATACTGTGTGTTCATTTGTTAACTACCTTTAGCTCATTAGGCTCTCTGTTGTCCAGCAGATCTCCATCCTTGTTTTGATTGTCCATGACCCCGAAGGACCTTCAAACATCGAACAGAGCAGTCACATGTTACTTCAGTGAGATGAACACCCTAAAATATGGGTTATTAACATATATATTTGAAAACCATGATACCTGCTTGTCCTTAGTTACTTCCCTGTTGACATTTCCATTTGGTTCCAACACTTGTGCTCTCACCATAACAACTGAGCCATCTCCATGACAACTGGCCTGGTTTCTCCAATGATTACGTTTTTTCTGGCACAAACTCAAAAGTCACCCTGTCTCTTCATCCAACAATCTCTCTTTAAATAAATAAATAAACTCAATTTGATTTGCAAAAGTAAATGCCATGATTTAAAAAAGGAATTCAGGTTGGAGAGGTAAATGTGGCATGGAAAAACTAGATTTCATGGATGTGAACGCTACCTTCAATTTCAAATAAACAAAATAATGAAATGTTGCAGAATATTTTTTGCGCAGAATACCACATTTTTTTATTAGAAAGACTAGCCTACATATAATTGAACAAAAATAACCTGAAAAGTTGTTTTAAAGTCATCAAAGGGTATTTTCAGCAGCAACAATATTCTTTATCCACATTTTCTCCCCAAAGAATTATTATATGGAACAAAAACACATAACCATCGCAGGAATCTACCATTGTTAATACCAGAATAAATATTTAAAGTTAAATAACTACTAATTAAAACAAGGATTATTTTACTTGTTACATTTCACATTAACAAGCTAAGCTCCCAATTAACAGTTCATCTGAATAATGAAAAATAACAAATGTATCATTAATATAATACGCTATGAGATTTTTTTTAAAGAAATGTGATTTTGCCTAACTTTTTTAAAACTATTTTATATTATTTGTCACAGTTCACATTATGTCCATATGCTACCCCCTTTTTTAATGTGTAATCTAAAGAATAGAGTATAATCTCATATAATGATCTCAAATGTTGTTTTGAGTTAGCTAAAAATCTGATTCAAAACTTAAAAACAGCAGTCACACAATTTCACATGACTGTATTTAGCTATTTATTATCACATTTGTACAGAGACATATTGCACAGTACAAACACAAAGTCCTGGCTTTGCTCAAATAATGAAGAAACCAACATAAACCTCATGTACTCCTATATGAGGGAATAATGTATTTTGTGCGTGATTTTTTACTTGTGTGCGTGGTTCAAGGGAGATACATTATCTATATTTACACAGAGAGATAAATATACACTTTACAAACTCATAAAAAGCTTTCCCACTTTTGCATACTGCTGCTAACTTGCCACTGGGTGATAGAACACTGTCTTACAGCATGAGAGTTTTAAATTGTAGCAAATCACTTTTAATTAAAAAAAGTCCTGCTATTGAGGTCTTATAAGGTTTTTTTTAGACTCAGAGCCAAGCGAAAAAAGAGAGGTATCTGAACCTAAAATCAACAAGTCAAGATAGTTTAGACTACTGTACACAGATGGTATTAAAAACCTCCTCTAAAAATTATTATGCAATACTTGGCCTCCTCAAGTATGTGTGTGTATGCGAGTCGTCTGCAGTCAGAGCGGTATAAGAGGAGCGCAGGCACGTCCACATCTCAGATGTCCTCATGTCCCACTTCCTCGCCAACATTCAGTGTCTCAGTCTTTATGGGCAGGACAGGGTGCAGGAGCAGGGAGGTACAGGAGCTCCACCACGCTCATATGTTGAAGCTCTCTCCACAGCCACACGTGCCCTTTATGTTGGGATTGTTGAAGACAAATTCACTGGACAGCTTGGACTCCACATAGTCCATCTCAGTGCCCAGAAGGGTCAGCTGAGCCTTCTTCTCTATGAACACCCTAACACCTGCAAGAGAAGCACATTACAGCCGTCACCACTCACAACTGCTTACCTAAATGTAGTATACGATACGACGTTACAATACGATGATATTTAAGACAAGATAAAAGGAAACAGACATTAACATAATAGCAAAGTCTAGTATATAGACTGAGTATGACACGTTCCCATCAGTAAAACAAACCTTAAAATTCAAAAAACACAATTTGAAATAAAATCTCTATGTGTAAGAATGGAAATAGGTCTGGCAATTGATTAAAATAAAAAACAATTCTAGTGAAACTCCAAATGTCTCAATCCCCTGTTTAATACAGGGGATTTTAATATTTGATTTCATTAAAAAATAATAAAAACATCTCCCTCACACAACTGTACATATTCAAGTTCCTCCAAAAACTACATTTTATATTATTACGTTAGAACACATCATTTTAAGATGTACCTATGATTAGTACTCTTTTTGTTTTACTGTAGACCTCGAAAGCCTCATCATGTTTCACCATGGCAACAACAGCTCATGTTAACTCATTCTCCTCTGCCCATGCCAATGAGTCAAACAATACAGCGGCAATAAAACGACTTGCAGACATTAAAGGGTTGCCTTTGACAGCCCTAATTTGACCATTTCCATCTTTAGCAAACCTAGTTTTAGTATAAATAGAAAAATTACGGTGGCAAAAAGCTATTTATGCTGTAATTCATTGTAAAAAAAGAAAGAGAGTTTAATGTATTAGATCTTTGTTCTGCCAGGCTTCCTGACCCCAACTTTTACATTTTATTACAAGGATAGCAAAACAATGACATAAGGCTCACCATCTTGCAGTACTTCCTCATCAGATTTGTCTTTTTCCTTGGTGTAGTCCAGTGTGTAGGTCAGTCCATTACAGCCACGCGTTCTCACTCCGACCTTCATAGCAATCTATGAAGAACCAAACACAACGACATCACCATTCATTGTCAGGTATCCATTATGAATCACTGCTTACAGTACCGCATGAGACATTGTCTGACCACTGGCGAATGTGGCAAAAATAATACATTCAGTGTGGAATAACAGATGTTTAATGATTGTCTGCTGCCACTTGATATCACTAAAGTTCTTTAAAATCCTACTTCAAGAGATATGTTGCCTAAAAAACACACATAGGAAGGGAAAAAGGTGATTAACCTAATTATTCCATTATATATAAGGTTAAGATAACACAGTCCGATACAACTATTCAAAGAAGATAAGTATACATTATTTTTGATTTATTGTAAATTGAAAATGTAATCCTAAAACCACACAGCGCCCTGTGGCAGCACTGTTTGTCTGACAATATGATGTTCAGGGTCAGTTACTTACAAATCCAGGCTTGTTCTTCAACAGAAGACTGATCCTGTTCACAGCTGATGGAGTCTAAAGGAAACAGAATAGAAGATAAAAGGTTAATACAATATTGGATTCAGATGGAAGCAGTGCTTTTGTTTAAAAAAAACTAACTGTTTTTTGTTTGTCATACTTTTGCTCAATGTGCTTCATACAGTCCATGGTGCAGGTGTAGGTTTCTATGATTGTTTTGAATAGTTTTGCTCCCCACTGTGAGAATGTTCTATTGCCCAGGCAAGTACCAACACTATAACAATATAACACACACCCCTGTAGCCCATTGTGCAATTGAGTGGACATTATATAAATCTATTTAACATGTTCATACAAATGCTCAACTTTTTAGTGTGATATCTTGTTTCAATAGTTACTTTCTGTATTATTATTTGTATTCTATTTTATCTTTACCTTGTGTGAATCCTGTTTTTCATTCTGACACTGTTGCTGCTATAAACGAATGAATTTCCAAGGGGATAAATAAAGTTCCATCTTATCTTATCTTATTAGTCACACAGTGCTAATGAATCCCTTAAAGCTGAGTGGAGCTGCTGATGCAAATGTACAGCACATCTCAAATGTGTGACAGCCAGTTGTATAATGACCAAACTGTCAGCCAGTATTGAAAACCTAAAATCTCATTGTATACATGAGGTGTAATATTAACCATTATATCATGTGGTATGAGTATAATTATCTTTAGTCCCTGACAGGTAAAGAAAATAACAACAGGACCCTATAATAAACACATGTTCTGCTGTGTCATTGAGGGACTTCTTAACAGTTACCTCGGCACTCTATCTTTTATCAGCTCGGACCACCAGTGCACACATTATCTGGCAACAACACCAACAGCAGAGCTCGCCAGGCTGATATTCAACACCAGAACAGTTTCATCCCGCCCATTATAACATTAATGTAACAAACGGTCACTGTGCACTGACAAATTGCTACCCTGAATCTATTCGTTTACATTTAAAAACAACATTGTGTGATCTGCCACAAACGGTTATTTCCTTTAGTCGTCAGCTAACAACAGTGAAGAGTGACAGTAAATGTGGGTTTGACGAGGGCAACATGCAATAATTGGGCGGTTTTTATTTTACTTAACCTTTATTTAAGAAGGAAGGTCTCGTTGAGATTTTCAAGAGAGTTCTGGCCAAGATAGGCAGCAGCACTGTTACATAACAAACATCTAAACATCGTAAAAAGCATCTACAGACAGCATTTTCTTCTTCTCAGTCATTAAGCAGCACTTTAAAAGTGTTAAGAGAGACCAGCTCCATGAGTTTACCATAGGATTAACATAATATGTAATATTGAGGAAGCCCTTGTGCCCCATGGCATCTGTGCCTCAACTCGTTTACTCTGAACTTTAATAAATCACCCATCAGATCTGCTCACATCTATAACATATTGCCCACTTGGATGCCACAAATGCCCTAAAGATTTATATAGATGTCAAAATATTAATATGCGGCTAACTGTAGCTGAACAAAGGTGTCCAAAGCACATTACCCAACAACTTAGCTTAGCAAAGGTTAGCATCTAGTTCAGCCAAGGCCAGTTATATTCTTAGGACCGAGTGATTGTATAACCACCCTTGTGTGAACATCAGCTAAAACAGATATAGGAACATCAACAAGCTGACATGTGTTATGTTGCAGGAAAGCTCGGTAAAGGTTGTACTTTACTGCGTGGAGCTTTTAAGTGACAGAAGGTTAGCTAGCTTACCTAATGCTGGATCACGTAACGTTCACGGGCGCAGGATGTTAACGCCACACTTTGTGTATTAACATGAAGAAAACTGTTTAATGTGCGTTTATTAACAAAGCTAATGACTTACCAGTGTCAGTGCGGCTCTTGTAGGCAGAATCTTTCTTTTGCTGACCGCTCGGACGGTCGCACGCACCATGGAGGCAGACATTTTTGCTTCAGTACAATCACAACATTGAATTGCGTAAGCGCGTCAGAAAATTACCAACCGTCCAAAATAAACAGACGGTCAACGATTGGCTAAAACTATGACGGACAGATGTTTCAGCCAATGGGCTCACTGATAAACATCTATTCGTTGTGTAACCTACTTATATGCTACTTTATGCGTGTCTGGGCACTTGAGTGGATCGTTTCGTTCAGCGCCATATATATATTCCTGTACAATGAGGTACTTCATCATGACACAGTGACTAGCTTGGACTAACTTTACTACTTCTGACAAAAATAGAATAAAACTGAATAATCAAATAATTACTCATGTAATAACACAGAACCAGTCCATTGTCAAATATATTATTGTGACAGTTGTGGTGTTATTTAGCTGCTGTATTGGCGAAAATGTAGTAAGTAAAGACGTAAGGAAAAACAAATAGTTACCATGGTTCGATATCAGTGTTGCCCGTTTTATCAGAGGTTGTGTTCCCCAAATGCATTGACAGTTTGATATCGAATCATTTTTTTGAGACAAAACAATTTTATTCAAAAAATATTCCACACTGGGTTTGGATTTTGAGTTTAATGAGTTCTTTGAGACACAAACTGGATTGCAAGCCGACTTTTCCTGGCAGGATTGGGGTTACTTAAAAACAAACTAAACCTCTCATTGAGTCCCAACAAAAGATATCCAATAAAGATGGCATTTAAACAAAGCTACTTTAAAATGAGAAAGTTTGATTACAATACCACCAACAACACATTTCTTCTAATAAAATTTAGCCATTATAGGACAACAATAAAGCCAGATAGTCCATCTTTGAAGTTGAATGATAAGCAGGTCTTTGAGACATTAAACTAGCAGCGACATAATTGAAGGGCATGTACCCTCACACAGTGCAGCTACCAATATGTGGCACCATAACAACAAAATGAAGCTTTTGTGGTAAATAAATACAGGTATGTCTTCACTTAACTGAGATTACCTCTAGTTTTGTGTAAGCATGACACTTTTTGTCATGCTCTCTCAACGTTATGTTCTTGCACTAATGTCACAACGCTTCCTAGCATTTGTGGTGGCACATACAGGTCAGGATAAGCAGACGACAGCACGGTTTCACTGTCCTTCTGTTAACATGGGCAGTTGGGGGGCATGTATCTATGTAATAGGGGTGGATCAGCAGTCACCAAAAATAAAACTATGATCCTGAAAAAATATGTACAGGGTGGTTTCTCCAACATAAAAACTTTCGATAGATTTGCTAGGCTGAAGGAGAGACGGACTGATGGACGCCAGTGCAGGACAAATAAACAGGATTTCAAAGAAAATGTGGTTAAAAAAATAAAAAAGATCCTTGCCACTACGTACACTGCCAATGAACATTTTCACATAACCGTTACAGTAATTTTTTGAGTTGAATCTCAAACATTTGAGGTGAGCTAAACTGAGCTTAAGTCGCTTTAAGGTAGCAGTCAAAACACTAAACCATGACGTTACAGCTGTATCAGTGCTTACTTACTTGGTCTTACCTTACTGTGAGGAATTGCCAATACTGACAAAAAAAGGTTAGCATCAACTATAACACAAATGTATTGTAGTCTGCAAAATATGGACTATTACGTTGAGAAAATTAACTATTAGACATGAACTTGACACCTCTAAATAACTTACTTATTATAATTTAAGAGATTCTAAAAACTAAATCCGCAATGTAACTGTTTGAAAAGTAATAAGTGTAAAACAAACTTGACTGGCAGTGTAGGCAAACAGACATGAGGTGCATGCATAATGGCTTCTCTTGTTAAAACAAAAGCTTTAAAAAGCTCCTCCAGGGAGGACAGCTTTGGGGTGGGGTAGGGGGGGTGAAACACATAAAAAGGCCCTATTTGGCTTCAAGTCAAGGCGTCCTGGCTTTGGCTTTTAACAGGCTCCCATTGGCCCAACAGTCCCATTGAGATTCAATGGTTTCTGAGACTTTGGGTTGCTTTCTGCCTGGACAAGAGTATAACCTTGTGGCTTGTGTAGCCACAGCTGCAGCTCATTCCACCGGACTCTTCCTGTGACCAGAGCGACCCGCATTTCGGGAGGCTAAACTACCTGAAACAGACCAGAAAGCAATTGTCAAAATTGATTCAAAAACATATTTTCAACCTGCACCAGAGCACCCGTTATGAAAAAAACATCCATCTTATGACATCTTAAATAACAAAACAGAACATAATGCCTCAACCTAATAGACTGAATGCTGGATTTTCTTTATTTGACACTTTATTTGCAAAAAAAACAGTTCAGGTTACAAGTTAGATCGCATAAAGAATATGTTGACTATATAGAAAGCAACTGAACACAACAGGAACAAAAGGCTAATCTTTAGCAACTGGAGTTCAGAGGAAGATAGATAGACCTGAAACTGCTTCAAACACTTCTTGCTTTCATTTTCTCTTCTCAACAGCCCTAAGAAAGTGGACCAAAATAAAAAACCAAACACTGTCAACAGTTTTTACTGAGAACAATATCTGCTCAAAGTACGTCTCCCTAAATTAATCACCGGGGGTGTAAGAATAAAAATAAAGCAAATATGGTCTGACAATTTGTGCTCAAGAGAAAGCAGCCCCATAATGTGTTCTGATGGAAGAGGAGTACTTCATACATTTTCCAATCACTGTTTAATTAGTTAGCCTATGCATTCACACAATGGTACCATCAGAATGAAACGTTGATTCCCTAAGGATCTAAACATGCAAGCAATTTCTTTGTACATACCCGCTTGTGGACTTAATATCACATTCTGTGGTTTTCTCTTATTTTTCTCTTCTTGTAAAGGTGAACCCTGGAAAAGGGGAAATAAACAGAGGCACAGGTGTAGTAGTGGACATAAGCTGTCTCTGTTAGAAGAAACATGTTTCAAGAATATGAATCATTGGCTGTGACAAACTGATATCATACCTGTCTCTCCTTTTCTCTCACATTCCTCAAGTGGCCTGAAGAGGTGGAAGAAAAGCCATCCATCCTGGCATTTCCTACCAAATGAAAAGAAGAAGCGTCAATTGCGCCCTTTCAATCTTTATTAACAACATCAATGCATAAGATTTGATATTTCTTAATGCAATAGAAACCAAAGGACATTAACTAACAAGTTCAACTATGGAGTTAAAACAAAATGTATTTTGGAAGGCCTTAATGCCATAGAAAAAAGAATCATACCTGCAGGGCTTCTGTACAGCTGACAGTCCTTCTTGATGTGGGAACTTGATCCACACAGGAAGCAGCAGCGCACTTCCTGTGCATCCCTTTTCCTCCAGTGCTCACCCCTGTGTCTGCCTTGGTCCTTGCCGTCCTCAGCTGTGTCTCTCATGTGATCTGGCCTTTTCTCAGAGTCTCTTCTGTGCCTGGACCTGGGATACAATTATCCAAAATATTATAAAAACCATGTAGCATGATAGATGGTGAAGAAAAAACATTTATCATCGCAGGGCCAAATCAGACATTACATTACATGTCACTTGTTAGACGCTTTTATCCAAAGCGACTTACATACTCAATACTCTGGGCAATCCCCACAGGAGCAATTTGGGGTGAAGTGTCTTGCCCTGGACGACATGCTGACTGCAATGGGGTTTGAACCTGTGACCCCCTGATTCGAACACCAACGCACAACCCACTGCCCCACACGCCTGTGTAGACATGTGATTATACGTACTTTTTGCGCAGGGGACAGTCTTTCATGAAGTGGCCGATCTTGCCACAGATGCGGCAGCAGCGGTCATTTGGAGCCACTTCTCCCTCAGTGAGAACTTCAGGATCAAAGAAATACTCCTGGGAGGAATAAGAACAAATCATTGTGAGACAAATCTGAGGCAAGTGCACCAAAACCTGCAAATGTGGTGTTCAGACAGCAAACACTAACCATCTTGCTGGGGTACGCAGGAGGGAAAGCTTTGACTGGTGTGCCAAACACTGTCCTCCCGTTGATGAAGGCCTTCATGATGAAGTTAGTCACTGATTTGGTGAAAAAAAAACATTATATTAGATAAGCAACCAGAGACAAAGACATTGAGACAACAGTAGATACAAACAGACAGAAATAAGCATACTTTTCCTGGACAGGCCAGCACCGAGATTATGATTCAGGTCAAACGGATCTGGGATTTGAACAGAGAAGGGAAAGCAAAACAAATTAGAAGACATTTCAAAGAAGCCTCTAGAACCTTTGAATTCAGAAAACAAACTCCACAATACTAATAGGTAATAGTGATGTGGAGTTAACAAATTGGATAGACAGCAGGATGTATTAATGATTCCAAAGTGACAAAACTATTATTTACACTTGATGGTGTTTAAGCCAGGATAAAAACTCCCTTGTATCCTCCCGGTGGAATAATACTCATATGATTCTGTGTTATAATTTAATTGTACAAGTCTGGACCCAGAGCTGACCTTCAATGACGATGTATTTGGACGTCCACTGCTTGTTGAAGGTGGTGAGGCAGTTGTGCAGACGGTTACAGATCACTTGCTCTCGGAAGTCGAAGTCCTCGGTGTAAAAGCGGAGCAGGCCGAGCCACAGCTCGCCCACCGTCTCAATGTTCCTCCCACCCTGTGGCCAGCGACTGGGCTGCAGGTGGCAAAGGACAGGACTGGTCTATATTTAGGGCACGCTGCGATATGCATATTGACAAAAATGTTCACAGAGGCACTAAGACACAATATGTTAATATCCAAAACACTCACAAGCGTTTTTAAATCGTCAAAGAAGTACACGTTCCAGTCATCAACTAGCACCTCCGGCTTCTTCTTTCCATCGTAAATCTGCAACAAAAGTTGAGGAATTGAAAATGTAGAGTGTCTTGGGAACAATGTAAGAAATGCTTCAGTGTAGCTTGAAAAAAAGCCTGTGGCGTTTGGGATGCAAAATATCAAATGATTTCAAACGTGTGATTAAGTCTACGATTTGAGGTAGTTTAGATTCCTACACATTGATCTAAGTTTGTGGGATAGGGTAATAAGTAAACATACATTTTAACCCATTTCTTTTTTTTTAACAAACATGTCGCTTGTACCTCTTGCAGCACCGGGATAACTGGTGGGTTTCTCTGCTGTAGAAAGAACAGCACCATGAGGGTGTAAGCGTAGGAAGAGAGACTGCCGCGTGAAGCATCGCCAATGTCACACATCTGTAATGGGACAAACAAAAAAGTATGGTGATACAGTAAAACAATGTCATTAATATATGACCCTGGAGACATACAAACACGTCTTCGGCACACTCACCTTGGCGAAAACCTTCATGACATAACAGAGGATCTTCACTCTTCTGTCGATGGCAGCATAGGAAGCCAACAGGTGTGTGTTGTGCAGGGCCTAAAGAAAAAGGTTGGCAAGCCATTATTTGAATACGAAAGTTATTCAATAGCAAATGTATACAGGAAACAGATGGAAAGAAGAAAGAGCCCCACCAGAGTGTTGTAGAGGCTGATGTCGCCCTCCAGGCCGGTGCGGACATGGTAGAACTTCACGATGGGCACTTTTGCTGTGGTGATGGGCAGGATGTTCTTCAGGCCTGGTGACGGGGTGCAGATATGGAAATGTGTAAAAGGATGCATTGACACTCTGCATTTTGAATTCTGAAAATGGCTTGTTAATATAACCTCACAATAGAAACTAAAGTACCTTAATTTTCGGACTATAAACCGCGCCTTTTTTCCCATTTTTCGACGCTGCGGCTTATATAACGGTGCGGCTAATCTATGGATTTTTACAGCCAACGGCCACTAGGGGACCTCCTAAATCTATGGATTTTACAGGTTACAGTCCACCACCTTTAACTCTATGGGCTCTATGGCCGGTCCGCGCACCCCACCTTTAAGCGGCGGGCTCCAGCAGGAAAAGCTGGAGGCCGGAAAAGAGTGAGACAGGTAGCGGGTAAAAGTGGAACCGAGAGTGGTACGAGAGACATTACGAGAGCGAGACAGTTTGTCCCCGTACCACTGGTTGAAAACCACTGCTGTAGATCACTGCCGGTACGTGCGCTGGGAGTTTGAAAGTTGAAAAGTTTGTGTGTCTGAAACGCTATGTGATACAGTACAGTTTACACAGCACAGTACATGTTCTGTAGCTACTATTGCACTAAATGGTAACACTTGAATACGTTATTAGACCCTCCAGAAAAACGCGGGCAAAAATCCTTTATTATGCGGGCTAAATTCCTTGATTATGCGGGCTAAAATCCTTGATTA